CAGAATGATATGTATGACAAGAGCAAAAAAATATTAATATTAATTTTTTATATACGAAAAGTAAGAAAATAGTATAAAGTAAAAAAATTATAAAATGTCAACGTTTTGTTTAAAACGTTTATTGTCCATATCGTGCATTGAACACTTCCTGTTTTAACGTTGCGTAGCAATTTTTACAGGTACCCGCTGCAGAATGTTTGACATCAGTATGGCTTGATTGATGTGACGTGGCGATGAAATTTTAAATCGTTGAAGGCGGTATGTAGATATTAGTTTAAATTAAATCCATAATTGTTCATAAATGTTTGATTTCCTTGAGGATTCTTCTAAATTGATATATATGTAAACGTTGAATTTATATACTCAATTTGATAAAGTTTTATTCGATTATTTAACGGCACATCACACTTTTCTTGTTGTTTCGTCGTTGTAAAAAAATGGTCTTGAATTTAAGAATACGAAGAAGTAATGCTAGAAATATAATTCTTCATTTTTGTAGCAAAGTTTTTGAGTAAAAGTTTAATTAAATAAACTGTCTGTTGTTGCACGATTCCAGCAAATGTTCATGTAATATTTATTTTGGATATCTTTGTCTCGCACAAATAACTGTTTTCATAAGAAGTTGACTTCAGTATTTCTCTGGTTTTAAAGTTTATATTAACCCATAGAGAAACACATTCTATTGATAAACGAAGGTTTTCGGTTTCTTTGGTTGAAGACAGGAACAAAAGTTTATTTGGTTCTACCATTTTGTTGTTGTTGTTGTTGTTGTTGACGGCTATACATTTTCATCATCGTAGACGCTTATTTTGCATGGTTTTTACATCGAAGTAGGTATGTTTAAGTTATATGTACATAGTTTTACATCGAAGAAGGTGTGTGTTCATGGTTATATGTACATGGTTTGACATCGTAGAGGCTGACTGTTATAGTGTCTAGTCAGGCGGTGTTTTACTGTACCGGCGAGTTCTCTTTGGCTGGACGACAATTGATCGACAATTGATCGTTAGACCAATAATTTTGCGTTTTCGTCCGTTATCAGATTGATTAATAGATATGATTTACAATAAACATAATTTTGTTTGAGATATATGAATAACAAGACAACTGTCATAAAATGCATAGGATAAGAATTTCAACGAAAGATGTTTTCTATCTTATCTTTAAAGGGAGACACAGGCAAAATTTTTATTTCTTAGTTTTGGATTTTTCATTCATTATTCTGTTAATGCCACATTAGGCAGTCAAAAGAACAAAACTTTTCTCCGTATAAAAAATAAAATGGTGGTTTCCTAACTTGACCCGCGTGGGTCAGGTTAGAGCACTAGGATTTTACAAAAGTTGTCACGGTGAACTCTGGAAACGTTAAAGAACATGTCAAATGAATGACTTGTTTCAATCTTACAATATCCACAATATCTTTATTTTAACTTCAAGGGTTTATTCAAGTGACATGACTTGTTTTAAAACTATTTGGTGATTTTATTGACGTCTAAATTTTAATCAATAAAATAGATATATTTATGCTTCAAACCCAAAATATGTAGAATTTAAACAGAAATTCATGCTGGAACTTTAAGAAATGTCATTTTAGCGTGATTTGAGTACATAAGATCATTTTGATAGTTTTGTCATTATTTTGCCTAATTATCCCTTTAATGTAATACTTGATATTTAATAATTTTACTTTTCATATTGAATTTTAAACATATTTTTTTTAACTAAGCTTTTAACTTTTGTTATATTTCAACAGTAAGACGTATCCCAATTTAACATATATAAATATTGTGCGATTGAACAGTATATGTATACATGTATATATTTATATATACTGGTGTTATTCAAAGATAAAGTAGATAATGAATTTTTAAACTCATGCTTAAGTGCGGTCTTATACTTAAAGATGCATATTAACTAACCGATCTATTAATAAACAAAAAGCAAATAACGATCATTCAACCAAAAAAAAACAAAGATATATATTTCTAATAAAAAGAAAACAACTTGAAATTTAATATAATTGAATACAACCAGCAAACATATAAAGATATGTAATTAAAGTTATGTAATTTTCTGTTTTGTTTTATATTTGTTTCTTTTAAACGTATATTTTTTTTCTATAATTACAATTTACCGAAAATTAGTATAGTATATAACACGGAATATAACGTTCTATAACAATTCAGCTAATCTTTGTTAAATCAAAACCTTTCTTTTTAGTTGAAATAAAGTTGATAATCATTTCGTTATCTGAATCATTATCATCTGCCATTGAGTCTGACTGAATAGCATTTTATACTGCTTGTGACTGAGGATTGCTATTCACTTATATGAAATTTGAGTCTGATAATTCTGAATCAGTCTGCGATTGCATTTCTTCTGAATGTGCATTACTTTGAACATTGTCATTAATTGAAATTTGTTGTTGTTGTCGAAGATGTTTCTATAATTCGGCTACTGGAGAATCATCTTCACTATCAGAATTTGATCTTTCTTTTCTTACATTCTTAGCAACTTGGGGTAATACTGATTCTGGTTTTTCTAAAGCATCATCAGTTTCGCTTTTTCAGGTGTAACTACAAACGTGGCATTTCTTTTTGGTCGGCCAGTATTATCTGCTTTAGGTATTGGTCAGTCAGTTATATTTGCAAGTCTTATTTGTTCTGCGTGTACCTTAACTGTTGTAATGTCAAGCTGATTTTTTATTATGTAAGTTTATGGTGACTTTTTCTCCATTATTCTATAAAATGGCTTCCAATTTACATCTAATTTACCTTTTTTACGAAAATTCTTATAATATACAGCATCATCTATCTCAAATTTGATATCTTTTGCGGTCTTATCTGGATGACTAGCATGTTCGTGTTTTTCTTTTTTAAGGTTCTTATATCCAGACAGAAAAGTATTATGTTTTTCTTATAAAGCAATTTTGTGATACTCTGCGCCATGGTCACGTTGCCTTGGTTGAGGTAACAGGTCGACCGGGAGTGTGGGGTCACGGCTATCTAACAAATAAAATGGACTATATTTTGAAGTTCTAGAGACATTGAATCTAAGTGCCGCTAGTGTCATGTTAAGATGAATATCACATTGTTTGAGATTTCCCTAATTTCTTTTAGCTAAGATATCATATATGACATGGTGAGAACGTTCATTTTTCGCGTTCCCGGCAAAATGATAGGTAGTTGTACGCACGTGATCAATTTTTAACTCTTTAAGTGAATCTTTGAAAGCATAACCTATAAATTCTGATTCAATGTCAGTGACAATTTGTAAGGGACATGCATAATCTAGGGTAAACTTCTTCTAATAGTAAATGTTAAATTGTATCAGTACTTTTGTCAGCAGGAGAAAAACACTCGGGATAACCACTGTAAAGGTCAATAAAAGGTTACCACTCATTGTTTGTTCATATGGTCCGGAGCAGTCGATACTCATTGTAGCGAATGGATAAGGCGGTATTCTTGTCTTGCCCATAGGTGCTTTTATTTTTGTAAGATTACGTGACTGACAATCAACACATTTAGAAACATATTCATATAATTCTTTGAACATATTTGGCCAAAAATATTTTTGTTTTATTGTTGTAAATTAACTTTGTGTTCCTGGGTGACCATTATTTAAATGATATTGAGTAATGTTTTAAGTGTTGCGGAACAAACAATCTAAGATTAAGAATATCATCTACATTAGACAGATAATAAAAAACTTGGTCAATTTTTAAATATTTGCTCTACACTGATTAGTTGGCTGTCTGTGACGTAGTAACATTTTCAGGACATGGATTAGTTTAATCTTTATCTTGTTCCAAGGCCATATCTAATTTTTCTAATTGTTTAATATCTTCTACAATTTGCCCTTGAATTTGGTATTCTTTGTTCGCTATTTGTTAAGCATTAAGATGAGTAGAATCAAAAGCATTTACTTCAAAGCTTTCATCAGTTTTCACAGCATGTGCATTATCATAATTTTAATTATTATTTGAATATTACACTGTTACTTTGAAGGCATCGCCATAAATTCTAGGTTCGTAAAGTTCAATATCATACTTGTTAGCATTTTTATCATTAGTCATCTGGAGGTCTTGAAAAGAAATCGGCAATTAATTTTAATTTTTAATTTTCCGGGCAAATATTCAATTTTGCAGTTATAGGCAAAGATATTTAAGGCCCAAAGCTGAATTCTTCTGTTTTGCATAGGTGCTTCTAGAAGATATTTAAAAGGTTTATTGTCTGTAAATATGGTAAACTCTGCATTATGTAAATAAACATCTAATTTTTGTAACGCATAACGAATACTGAATGTTTTGTTTTCTATGGTACTGTACTTTCTTTGAGATTCACTTAATTTATGAGGTAAGAAGTATATAGGTTAAACGTGATCCGACTACTAAATCTGAGGAGATACAGAATATAAGGCTTAGTTGGGTTTGGGAATGCTAAAATATTAACATTTTCTTTAATTGTTCAAAACTCTCTTGACATCCTTTTTCCATTTAAACAAAACACGTTTTCTAGTAAGATTAATGAGAGGTTCAACAATTTTTGATTTTTTTGGGCAGAACCTTCTATAAAGACCAGCAGCACCAAGTAAAGATCTGACATCTTTAACACATTTTGGTAAATAGCTTTTACTTTTTCTGGGTCTGGTTTTATACCTTCATGATCAATAATAAAAACAAGGTACTTTGTTTGTTGCTCAATAAAACTTCACTTTTTCAGTTTAAGTTTAAATTTATGCTCTTTAAGCTTTGAAAATACTGTCTGTATATGTGATAAAAGTTCATTTAATGACTTCGAAAATATCAGATTGCCTTCAAGATAACTGACATCAAATGCCTTTAAACCTTGTAAGACATGTGACACAAGTTCTTGAAAAACTCCAGGTGCAGAAACTAAGCCAAAAGGTGTGACGCTGAACTCGCACAATCCTCGGTATGTGGTAAAAGCCGTTTTCTCTTTGTCAGATTCATGTACGGGTATCTGCCAAAAACCTGATCGCATATCTAGTGTTTTGAAATATTTTGACGACCCAAATAGTGTTAAAATATCATCAATTAGTGGAAGAGGAAATGATGTTGGCTTTGTTATTTTATTTAATTGTCAAAAATAAAAAAACCGTTTCGAACCATCACGTTTTTCGACCACAACCACATATGACTTCTTATAATATTTGCTTCTAACATCTCATCAATTGCGTCGCTAAAAAAATTTCTATTGTTGAAAGGTGTGCGGTATGGACGTTATTAGATTAGAGGATGATTACCTGCTGGTATTTTCGTGGTTACAGTATCTGTTTGCGATAATTCAGAATCTTTATTTGCGAAAATATTTCTATTTTTCCTTATCAAGTCTCTAACAATATTACAATGCTCTGAAGGTATATGAATATCACGTTCAAGGTCGTTGTTAAGAGAAGAAGTTGTTTGAAGAGCCTCTGTGACCGAGTTAATGCTCTCAACTTCTGAAATTTAGCAACTACTGCATCTCGTTTTAGTCTTATAGTTTTATGCGTATTATTGACAATCATAATAGGAAATCTTCTATTAGCCGAAAGTTTCATAACAGAATTTGTTATCATATCACCTGGTTAGGAAGCAATCATTCCAGTTTCTATACTTTTTTATTCATATAATTTATCAATTTCCAAACCTGGATTTTGTTTTAACTCAACAGTTTGAGGTCTGCTTTAATCTAACAATTGATGCAATATGAATATCTTCTTCGAGGGGTACATATATACATATATTCCCGAGAACGCGTGTTGAATTCTATCTCGCTAGAAGATATAGATTAACATGTGATTTATAGACATCGAATGATCTATTCAAACTTCCAAATGTTAGATAAAACTTACACATCATTTTAAGTAGTAAATATCATTGTAGGAAATTTAAATAAGTTTGTTTTCATCAATTGAAGCAGTCATTTGTTTGCAAGAATGATAATACAAAAGAAACCTACGGTTGTTACAATGAAAGTGACAGTAAAAAATACTGAAGCTACTTTTTCAATGGCGTCGACAACCATGCCCCAAGTACAAGGTGGTTTTTCCGTGACAATTTTGGTCTCCTTATTCTTATCGCTCTTGTCATCCGAAGTTGCTTCTGTTTCAGTGCTTTCATTTGTATCGACATTGCAAGATTTAAACTTTTTCCTACAGCACATTGTGCTAATTCTAACGAGAAACACAAGACAACGTGGTACAGTGGAGTCCTTGTCCATAAATTCCGCTTTCGTTAAAAGTACAGATAGAATTGTGATGATTGTTGACTGGGCAGTTTGAACTACTAAATATATCGAAAAGAGAGGTATCTTCTGGGAATTGGGCGGCATAACAGAATCTACAAGAGTTAAATAGACGGAGAAAGCAAGGAAAACTGTAACCGCGTATCCTGATCTATCACCCCCGTTAGGTATAGCAAACACAAAAAGTCCTAAAATGGTTAGCAACAAAACAGGAAGAAATAATGTCATCAGGGCGTGCTGGGGTTTCCGCTGCAACTTTATTTCATAAATTAGGACATCCACGCCAGCTCTATCTGAATGTTTTACACTTGTTTCTAAGATTTCCCATAAAGGATTGGTATCGTAATAGCTCAACAACACATGATCTGGATCTGCAGTTAGTTTAATCTGCAATAAGATAAAAAAAAGTCAGAACACATTAGTGCATATATCATCCAAGGGCAATTTAAATTTATTTCTTACGCCGATTTTTACATATTTTTGCCATATTTTAGCGGTCAGTCCACTTATATTAATCCTACATCAGAGATGGAATCAGTGATCCCTCGATTACAAATCCGATGCTGTAGGGGATGGACAACTGTAAAATTAATCTCTTACAATTCTAACAACTGAATTCATGTAAAATGTATTATGGTTTGGTAAATAGATTATTTCAGTGCATATATCGTGGTAGAGCCATCAATCTTCAATAACTTGTTTAAATTGCATACCCGTGCAGTTATATATAGAGATTCTATAAAAGCGACATTGCACAATCGTGAATATATTTTTGATGTGACGTCATTAATAGTAGAATACTACGTTTTCGCTGAATGCTCCCACTCGGACCATGTTATATTGCAAATCCGTCGACAAAATGAAATGCAGCGCAGCAAATAATGGCTACAGTCGTTGAGGTAACTGTACGAACATTTTGTAGATTTATTGCCCGATTAAGGCCTGAAAACGGAATAAGTTTTTTTCTCTGAATGCTCCCACTCGGACTTTTCCCACAACCTAGAAGAATAAGGTTTAAAGCCTTCTTGAAAATTATTTTACACATACCAGGGCATAAACCGAGTAATGTTTACACATTTTTAGAGATTTGTTTCAAATATTTCTATTCAAAAATATTTTTTTCTTACTTAAAAAAAAGAAAAATGCTCCCAGACGGTCTCGATTGCAGAAATGCTCAGACTCGGGCTGAGAAAGTCTGCTGTCTACATATTCGAACGCAGTCTATGGAATACACTTTTGGTACTATGTACTTTAAAGACACCTTTAAAACATTCGTATTAAATTATTTTAAGCAGATATACAATTTATACATTAAAATGTACTTTTTCACTAGACACAAGTTCATCCTCTGTTCTCCTATGTTAAATGATTTTAACATAGAATGTTCTTCAAAAGCACAACTGATTAATATTTAGATATATAACTTATAAGAAAGACGTTTGAGCAGATGTGTATATGTAATGTAAGATAAATTGACTTTTGAATAAAAATATTTGAAACAATCTCAAAAAAAATGTGTACACATTACTCGGTTTATGCTTTGGTATGTGTAAATTATTTTTCAAGAAGGTTTTCAACGTAAAGTGGGAGCATTCAGAGAGAAAAAAAGTATTCGGGACTAAAACAGGCACTAAATCTATGAACGTTTCTTAACGAGGGATGCGCTACATTATGCTTTTGTACTCTATTTCCTATTATATAAGCGTGTTGACGGATTTTCTACAAAAATGGTCCGAGTGGGAGCATTTATAGCAGGTGTGCGATGACGTAGTATCCTACCATTGAACGTACACATAAAATAGTAGTGAAGGTAGTAATAGTGGTATGTGGTCAATTTGGTTTACGTTTATTTGCAAGTGATTGCTTTTTCTTTAATTGTTCCTTACTTCAGTGTAGCTCCAAGACATAAACTGTATTTCACAAGTTTGTACATCATATGGGTAATAAGTCATGTCTATATCACACGACGTTTCAAACTTCTGAAATATCGATATACATGTTGTCAGTTTAAGCTGATGGCACTTACAATGCACAAATTTACAACGCTTGTATCATTACAAAACTGAGTTGGTAAAAATAGTACATTCTCTCATATTTATCATTTCGGTTTTTACCTAGATTACAAAAAACACATGTATTCGTATATTCCCTAAACAATAGACATGGTAATAGACTTATTTGAAGTCATGCCGCATTAATACATGATTAATTACAATGTATGTGTACATAATATATTGTACAATATAGTTCATATCAGGTGATTTGAGAAAATAAGGTATTCTCGGGAGTGATAAAATATACGTACGTCAAGAGGGTACCACTTAATCAAACCTTCATTAAAATTGTCTATCATTAAAGTTTCATGTCCAAGACTTTCATATGATCTAACTGAATTGACTACAACTATATCTGGCTTCCAAACATCATTCTGAAAAAAAGATGGTTACAACAGTATTTCCTTTCATATATATATTATAAGGGGGCAGGGGACATATTCGAATGATGGCCCCGGTCAAATTTTTTTATAACTCAGACATGGTGTTTTGAAGGTACTGATAACTTCTGATATTTCTCTGTCACTGTAATTCTTTCTTGTTTGTGTGTAGGAAATGAGAAGTAATTTTGGGTTTTTACCCGAAACTAACCATTTTGGTAGCTTTGTATGTATTTCTGACTCTCCGAATGGAGGTGAAAGAGTTAAAAATCAAGCTTTGACAGTTGGAGCCAAACAAGTAAGAAATTTCAGATAAATTTTGTGAAAACATCTAAACGTATGACAGACACTTTACTAATCATTTCTGCGTGTAACTGATATTTTAAAGGAATTGGGCGGATTCTGGAGTATGCTGCACGTTCATGAAGATTGCCCATATTGGTATATTTTAGGTGTGATTTTGGCTGGGTGGGGGTAAATATAAATTGTAAATTTTTTGAAAGAGCAATGCATGCAAACTATTATTTTCTTCAATGTATGTTATATATCATTTAATAATGCTGTGCAACAGGTTATCTGCCTGTGAAACAGATTTTGAAATATTTGGAATTGTGTTTCTGGTCACACTGAAATACAAAATTGTTCATTTTTAGGTCCCCTGCCCCCTATACCTCATTTGCATATGCCCTTCTATATTAGATATGCCGTCATCCGGTCCATAAACCGTATACAGACTGGAGACGGTCCATAATTCTTACAAGTAAAATGGTTTCCTGCGGGGAACATTTTTCATGATATAAAGATATTTCATTTAACTATTTTCAACACCGTTTTGGCAGAGGGGAATAAATAAACGTTTATATCAGGAATATAGTTGACAATAATCGATCAATATAGAAGAAGGTCTTTCGAAACTGGTGACCGTTGATGACCGGAGAAGGTCGAACATAAAACAATTATTTCTTTTTAAGAAAATGATTAAATAGGCCTACCATATTATGAATAATTAAAAGCAAAAAAAAAAAATAAATAAATAAATAAAAATAAAGTAAACACACAAGTTTACGCAGAAAATATTTCTATTTATTATGGCAGATGCCACTACGAATATTTTAATTTTGTATATTTTCAGTAAATACAATTTATTGTTTGTAAAATTTGAGATACATATATTAAAGAAACAATGATAATTTTCAAATAAATCATTCAAGTTTTTCCACCTTAAACGGTTAAATAATTAAAGAAAATTAGAAATATCACGTAAAAGGTTTTTGTTCTTAATTCAGAGGTTTAATTCTGAATAATTCCTAAGAGTTAATTCCGTAAAGTAACGACAAACGGTATTTAGCCAGGTTATCGAAAAGGTCAATTAACCAATCGTGTTCTACGCCGAGGTTCGAAATGCGTCTGGAGAACGATATAAAAGGACATCCCTGATTGCAATACGAAGTGGAATATGCAGGTAATTAATTTTTTTTCTTTATTTGTTAAATATGTTGTTGTCAGTTTTAAAATTTTGCAATATTTTTAACTTTCGTCCCCAGACCATTTCGAACGAAGCAGAATTTGCCCTCACATTGTTGCCATAATTTTGGTTAAAAATTATTGATAAGACAGAAAAGTCTAACAATTTACTTAAATGACATGGCTTTCAGTATGTTGTATGCAGGGTTTTTTTTGTAAAAAAATATGAGAAGGGTCCCAGTCACCCTTGACTGCTGTCAACAGGCCATAAGGATATTGTGTAGCTATATAGATTACTGAAGGAATTGGCAGTTTTACATTGTCTTGGTCCTAAGGTAGTACTAGTAGATCTTAATATTTTGAGTGTGTTTTCAGATTTTGTTTATTTTATTTATATGACTACCAATATTTTTTTTTATTTTCAGGTACTTGTGTCAATCTAACAACATTGACATAATTCGAGATGCGGATTTTAAAGAAGCCAACGACATGTTTGTTTGTATGTGTAAAGATACCTGCAAAATAGGTAAGGAACTGTTGATCACAAAGTGTCCATCGAGAAAGAAGATTTAGAGCTTTTATAAAGTTCCAGGATGCTAGACACTACCACACCGTATGGACTTTTAAACAGAGTATGGTTTGAATTATGTCTGTACCTTTGTAGGAGAGGGTGTGAGAACCAGCGTGAGCTGAAACTATCCATGTTTTATATCAGAACAGATGCCTAAGGCAAGCGGTATGTCTGTCATGTGTATTCAGAAGTATCCAAAAACCACCTAGGCATTAAACACAGTGATATTTCAAGACAAAATGTGAGAATGTATGAAACAGGTGGAGGAATGTGTCCAGTAAATAGCTTTAGAAATAATTGTCAAAACTAAATCCTTAATGCAAAGCTCTGTTCCAGACACCAAGAGAGTCCTTTTTTTGACTCAGATTCTATCTGGTATGAAAATCGCCCGTTTGGAAAAAACAAGTTAGGTACACGTATGAAGGAACTTGTTTTAAACTTTCAATATTCAGTGTATTAGACTAGACTAGACTAGACTAGACTAGTGATATAAATGTAAGAAATCGATGAAGATTTTTTGTTTGTGTCTGATATATATACATAAAGCTGTACACTTTAATTTCCTTTTCAAGTTATCATTAGTGTAAGTGAATTTGTCGGTGAGATTTTATTTTGTTGTTTAGTGATTAATTTTACAGAATTTACAGAATTTATTGTTATGTTTCACATATATTTATTCCATGTTGATCAAAAGTCATGATTTGTCTTTAATTGAATTATAAATTTTTAATACAGTTTGTGAAATTCTTAAAGTTCGGTTTTTTTGCCTAGTATCATTAGTTTTTAATTTGATTAACAAAAAGGGAATATAAAAAGAAGAGCATGATACTTTGCTGCATCGCTATATATATTACCGCCGAAGGCCGGTCCGTTAACAGTTTGGCTTCCTGTGAAATTTGCAGGGAAGAACTGAATATATGAAGAGTTTTTATTGGTCACTTTAAAATTACAAAACAAAATCTAGGAATCTCATTGGCCATTCTAAAATAAATTTAAAGGATAGTTCTTGTCATTATGAAATAAAATGTATAGAAAGTTCTTAATTAAAATGTACAGGATAGTTATTTAACTTTCTAGTTAAATTGCTAAGATATTTCAGTTCTGTTAAACAATGCTCATAACATTCAGATCTGGTTACATTTTCTAGCGAAGAGTTTATTTTACATAAGATCTTACTGAGTTTATTTTAGACAAGATCTGAGTTTTTAATATTGTCCAATATAACGAGAATAATATCAGAACTTTTCAGGTACTCTTGATTTATGATCTTTAATAAGTGTCTAATACATTATATGATTATTGATGTGTTCAATTGATATAATGTTTATAATTTTTATATCTTTTGCTTATTAATCAAGTTTCTATGAAAATAATTGCTTTACCGACTGCGTAGTGTTGGTGTTGGAAATTTAGTTCACTTAACGAAACACGACATGTTTGCTTCAGAACTCATACATCTTTAAGTGTTCAATTTTTCAAGATTAATAAACCTACAAGAACTTATATGTCATATTTATGCAAGCTATACTAACATAAACTTTTCTATTTGACTTTTTCTGGAAAACTAAGAACAAGCATATGCAAACTAAACAGTTTTACTTCGGCCGAGTATCTTTTTTTAAAGATACTTCTTGCTTTTTTTAAGTCAACGTTGTATATATTAAAGTATAATGAACACACCGTACAATCAAATGGGTAGACAACCGTTCAACGCAACGACAGTCGTTCTAGTATAAACATATCGGTACAATGAAAGATTCCTTATCTAAACTATTGACAACAAAGTCAGGTATAATACAATGCCCTTTATTGCTACCGTATATGTCAAACAGGTAATGTAGGTCATATTCTGTACAACTCGGAGCCCACCGCTGGCCTAGTGGTTAAGTTATCTGCCTCTCAACCAAGGGGCCATGGGTCATGACCATGTTTCTTCATATGACAACAGTACTGGTTGGTTCCATGAAGCGGACTCAAATGTGATTAACATAAGTTGCATAGAACTTGTTCCGAAATCTAGCTTAAAAAAACGTTTAAATCAAGAAGATCTTTTCAGTGCAAAATTTTGCCAAGCACAAACACATCATTTCTGAAATATTCCTGTGATTCATACTATATCTAAAATTATATGAAAATGCCTTCAATGGCAAAACTGAAACATCGTATATTTGTTGGTGGTGAATACAAAATATATGTTTCAATGACATCTATAAAGGGAACATTATTATGCGCCAAGTTATATTTTTATCTGAACAATCCTCGTGTACAGGACACAAATAGAGAAAGGCAATACGTCACCCGGAATGCTATGTTACCTGAGGCCAGTGTTCCAAATATGAGTCGTTGTATTCAGTTCCGTTCCATTGTAAGTATGTATCGTTCCATTTTATGGCCATATAAGATGCTGTCTTCAATGTTTCTGTTATCTGATCGAAGTCAATTATCGTTTCAAGCGCGAAAGTTATGTGTACATCTGAAAAATAAAACAGATCATTTACTGAAACAAATACCTTACATACCATCTAATGCCCAAAAACTACTAATTGTAACATAAAGTCATCCCATCGTCCCAAAATTTAGAGAACACACTTTAATAATTATACCTCTTGTTCAATAGAATAAGTGCGATGTTAATAACCTATGGACTAAATCTATTACAATTTCACAGCGTCACGTTGCTAGTTTTTGCCAAGCACAAACACATCAGTTCTGAAATTTACCTGTGATTCATACTATATCTAAAATTATATGAAAATGCCTTCAATGGCAAAACTGAAACATCGTATATTTGTTGGTGGTGAATACAAAATATAGTTTGTATATGTTACCACATGTTTACGACATGAACTCATTTGCTTTCAACAAAAAAACACTATAATACATATTTCTGCATAGTCATTATACAGATAAAACTACATTTAGTCTAAAATCCGAATAACTTAAATGTCAGTTATGAAATATATGGCGTCAATTATTATTTGAAAATAGTGGAAGAAATGCTTTTTTAATTTTATTGGTTTTGTTTTATTGTAAAAGGTAATACATTCGTTTTGTCGGCTTTTCACTCAAATACACAAAGTTTTATATTGTGATATAAAGTCTATGATTTGGCTTATATCATTTTTTTTCTTAATGTTTCCCTAAATATTTTCGTATAAAATTAATCAATGTCAATTTTACACCCGTATTAACATAATGTCATGAACATTGTATACATATTTTAGGCTGCACCCTCTTCAATACATTCGATTTGTATTGGATATATAGACTACAAAATTATTTTAAAAAAAACATACCAAAAAAGGATTGATCAGATGGGAATGGTGGAATCTTAGAGTTGTAGCCCTGATTAACGAACAGTTCTGTGTAAAGGCGATGTGTGTGTGTAGCGTTGCTGGTAGGATTGGTTATGAACACACAGACACATCTTGTGGTAGACGCTAGAAGCAGAACTAATATCTTGAAGTCCATTCTTTTGTAGCAATAAATGTAGAAATATGCTGTAATATCAAATAAAATGTTACATTCTGAACTGATATACATAAAGCAATGGACGTTTCTACATGTGGTTTTTTTCTCGTGAGAAATCTCTCTTACTCCGTATCTGTCTGCCTGCCTCCCTTTCTCCCTGCCGCCCTACCTACCACCTACCTACATGTCATTTTTGAAATTGAACGTGGGTATTGAAAGAAATATCAATATCAAATTATTAAAATTATTGCGACCACAGTAAAGATGCTGATCACGTACACTGATAATGAAGACCAGTTGATGACAAAAACACGTATTATCGCAACTAACCTTGAATTATCGCAACAAACCTTGAATTCTCACAACAACTCTTGACTTAATGCAACAAACCTTGAACATTAAACTTTGCATGCAATCCGATAAAATTCATAATTTCTTTATGATAATGCCTTCAACTTTGTGGAGTTATAATCTAAATTTTAATCTAAAAAAAGTTGACAGACATAAACAATCTTTCTAGCAAGTATTGCATTTACTTGGTCGTATTTAACAAATTTATCATTTCGTACAATACGAGGTTTATCAAGTAGTACAATGTTTATAGACACAGGTATACAAATAAACATATCACATACAATGAGAAACAGAACAATTTTCTGGACAGTTTAGATATTTACCAGAAAAATAAACAATTCTGGATGTTTATACAACATAGGTTTCTTTGTCTCGTCCAAATTGTGATGCGTTTTCAAGAAATACTTTTCTGATTTCCAAAATACAAAAATTTGGACAATGCTAACAATGATTTCTTTGACCTAAAGATAAAAAATTATCAAACTTTACATATTTGGCCAATTACAATATATAAGATTGTAAGATCTCTATAATGCGGACATACGAGGAGAAAGTGGTATTTATTTTCAATTTTTCTCATGGTACATGATTTGCATATTCATGCAGCCTTAACGTTGGGTATTTTCATATCTTCCTGTTTCAATAAAAAGATTGTGTGAAGAGGTTCTAAACCTAGTAAGTGATACGAGTTCTATGTTTGTTTTCATGTACTTAGCCTATATAATTCCCTAACAAAAACTGTGTTTAAATACACAATAAGTATGTAATCTTGAAGAATTATTAATTTTGGCATTCCATTTTTGCACGAATGCTTCCAATAATCTTTGTTTTATAGAGGTAACAAATGTGTTTTTGAGTTCTATACCAATTACCATATTTGTACAGTGTAATGCCAAGATATTTAAAATATTTTACAACTTCTATTCGTTTGTGTATTTTTTTCCCTCAAAAATCATGGTTTTTGTCTTAGACGTTTTAATTTCCTTTCCCAAAAGTTGATAATAATTTTGAATATCATTTAACATTAACTTTTATAAAACTGCATGACTTCTACGTCGACTTTAATTAGAACAAACTGATAGAGCATGACATACTTTTAGTTTAACTTGTACTGAGAAAGCATTATATAAACATTACAAACTTGTAATACATTAGTAATATATTTTGAATACAACGTCACGTAAACAATTATAAACCACTATTTAAAATGTGATTTGAAATAAATACAAATATATGTCGTGTTGTTAAGAATAAATATTTTGGCATGTAATTAATTAATTGATAGAATTGGCAATAGAATTACTGCAATTTAACGATTCCTTTATATATTTTGTCAGATTGAAAACTATATTCATATTGCTATTACATATCAATTCAATATATCTCATCATGGAAGGCCTTTTGCAGTAGTACTTTTTATCTAACTTTTTTTTATGAAACGTGGAAACGTTTTTTCTTCTATGAAACATGGAAACATTTTATTAATGCAACAAAGACAATATCTTCCACTGCCAGGTAATCTATTTTAACCATACCTTTCAGTTTGTGTTCTAAGTGCATGCGCTCTTATCCGCATTCTAGTGCACGTAAGAAAAAATCTAGTGTTTGTTTGTTTTTTTGTTTGTTTTTTTTTTTTTGTAAAAAAAAACCCAAGTAATTTTCATATGATAGCCTAGGTTAACACAATTTTTATATTTATAATACTGTAATTTTGGTATTTTAGAAAACAACTTCTAAACCTTTTTCTAATTCATTTCCTTTTAATAAATAATCGATCAATATTGTGGCATTCAAGATGGAAATATTTCACAGAAAATATTCATTCCATCGTTTCCTGTTAAAAGGTAAGATTGTGTAACTTTAGATTGTCTAATTCTATGTAAAAGAAGAACAACTTGATCATGGCGGTAAAGGAGGACAGAGAATAGTGATTTATCAAGACAAGGGTTGATATCATGAAGTTTGTCCCAATTTGTTTTCCATTTAGGTGAAATAATTTTACTTATGTAGGGTTGAAAATTACTATATCTACTGTTTGAGATTTGAGGATTATTTTGCCAAACAACTACCTTAATTTCTTCGTAACTTGGGATCAAACAAAAATTCACTGACTTAGTTTTTAACATATCTTGAAATCGCTAAAGGAGTTTCTTAATCATAATATCATCAGACTTTTGATGTTTAGTCAGTGAATAACATATCAATAAACTACCTTTGACAGCCACACAACCGGAAACTATACATTTCAATGGCTATCTATTTACTAGGACTTAAGTCATGTAAATGTTAAAGTATCTATTTCATATAAAACTTTACTCAACAACTTTTTCAGTGTGGCGTAAAAGCTTATAATGGCATTGTAATAGTCTTTTTGAAAACATACCATATCATCTTAACATTAAAGAATATTTTTTAAGTACATTTGTAAATATTAGTTTCGCAAAATTCATTTAAAATTCATTAATCAATTTAAATTAAATAGAAATGTACACTTCTAGGATATCTTAAAAATAATTCTTCATAAAATAGTGACAATTTTCGTTGGTAGAACCTTAATTCTACCTACAAGATTCGTCTTGATATACCTTGATGTGTACAACATTATTATTACGGTCATGGTTAAACTGCAATTAATACCACATAAGTAAGCGTTTCTAAAAAATTTTTGCTTAAAATCCAAAAACAACAACTAAGTGTCTTACTTTCACATTTTGGCTCATTTTTATTGTCATTTACAAAGTGTTACATAACATTTTAAGCCTATTATAGCATTCGGCACGGCATGGCAAGTTATGTGTCGACGTGCCATAAAAATTCAAACAACCAAAAAAAAAAAACAAACACATTTTGTTGATTATGGTTTGCCGTATATGATGAATTTGTAATAGATGTCATCTTACTTATGTATAAACTTTTCTTTTCATCTATGGTATTAAATGCCGTTTTATTGTTTGAATAACATTTCTGCAACATTAAATTTTTTGACCGCTGGCCGCTGGACGCTGACTTCACAAAAAATGATAAAATAAAAAAATTCTCAAAGTGATTATTTTCTTTTTATGTATCCTTAAAATAATAAGAAATGTCTTCAGAACTTCATTAAATGATGTTTTATTGTTTAAATAACATTTCTGCAACATAACATTGTTTGGCCACTGGACCGCTGGCCGCTGACTTCACAAAAAATGATAAAATATAAAAAAAATTCTTAAAGTGATTTTTAGCTCGACTTTTTTTTTTTGAAAAAAAAGTAGAGATATTGTTATAGTCGGGTCGGCGTTGCCGTTGCCGTTGCCGTTGCCGTTGCCATTGCCGTTGCCGTTCCCGTCCGCAAACTTGTACCTGGATCATAACTTTTTTATTTCTTGGTGTATTGTCTTCATACTTGGCCACAACAACCCTTTCAGTAGACCACACTAACCTTGACATTCATCCATAAATGACCTTGACCTTCAAGGTTAAAAGTCCAATTTTTGCTTGTTCATGCTGTTATTGGCTGTAACTTTGTTATTTTTGAATGGATTGTCTTCAAACTTGAACATAATAATCTTCAAGGATATCCCTTAAAAATAACCAGCCAGACCTTGACCTTCACTCATAAATGACCTTGACTTTGAAGGTCAAATTATTGAAATTTTCATTTTTTTGGCTATTATTGGCTGTAACTTTGTTATTTTTGAATGGATTGTCTTGGAACTTGAACATAATAATCTTCAAAGATAACTGTTAAAAATATACCGGAAGATCTTGACCTTCACTCATTAATGACATTGTCTTTGAAGGTCAAATTATTGAAATTAACATTGTTTTGGCGGTAACTGACTGTAACTTTGCTATTATTGAAGGGATCAACTTCATATTATAACAGAACATTCTTAAGGAACAGACCTTGTTGTTTATCAAACCCAAATTTGCTTGGGCTCTTTAATGACCTTTGACCTTGAAGGTTAAATTACTGAATTTTCTCAGATTTGTGCATTAAATGACCATAATTATATATTTATTGGTGTGTGTGTACGTATATATATATATCATCATCTTCTTCATCATCATCATCATCATCATCATCATCAACAACAACAACAACAACAACAACAACAACAACAACAACAACAACAACAACAACTATTTATAGAATTGCGTAATGTTTCTATTTTAAGAAATTGCGTAATGTTTCTATTCTAAGAAATTGCGTAATGTTTCTATTTTAAGAAATATCTAAATGATACTATTTGATAAACACCGAAAATGTTTGGTCATCTATTATATCTTCAGCTATAACAACATTGAATATGTCATCTTATTGTTTCCTTTTCATTTCCACTTCATTAATGTTATTTAGCATGACGTTATGGGTTTTCCTTTTGTTACATAAATTTCTAAAAGAAAATTTTCTCCAGTTTTTTTTTCTTTTATTTATTTGACTCTAAAGTTTCAGTGTGATCTTCCACATTAATATTGTATGTAATTCCATCACTTGTATTTTACTACCATTTGTGACATGATTGTTTTATATTTTTTTATCATTATCTATATCAGTGAAACACTTCATTTTACAAATTCTACTTTCACTGCCTGTTTAAATATAGGAAGTTTGATACTAGGTCAGGAGTCTATTATACTGTACAAAAGGGTCAATTATACTGGAAAAATTACCTGGTGAACTAAACATTGATTGACAAAAACATATGAGCATTTAGAAAAACATAACATAACATAACATAACGTAATATTTATTCAGCATTAAATGTTACAACATTTATAGCCATTTCAATATATAATACAAACATTTAAGGGCGAGTACATGGTTAACAGAGAATTATATACAAATGATTTATACAAATTAATCTTAAATTATTATTTTTTAACAGAGTGAACATAATTAATTGTAAAGTATTTTCTTAACAATATTTTTCATCATTATTACCATTTATCTGTTGTGTTCTTTCTATAGTAAAACATATTACAAAGAATATTTTTTTCTTGTTACGAGCAACATTTATGCTTTTTGAATACATTTTTGTAAAACAATTCAAATATGGAGATCCATTTCATTGTGTTAACATTAACTTAAAATACTTACAAAAGATAAAAAGAAAACACTCACTACATATGTACAAATCAGAGTTTTTATATGAATTGAAAAAAAATGCATAAAATGTTTAGAAATTCGGCAAATTGAGTCAAACAATAATTAATCGTTGACTGTACACTTCATTCTTAAGAACATTGCATATTCCCAACACTTTTGGTCCATTAAAATATCTTACCTGAAGAGTAAACGCCTAACACCTTATTATGTTATCCAATATAAATGCCTATATAAACCTTTGGTGCAGTCTATGTTACTTGTGGTAGTTATTAACTTCATATGCCCTATTTTAAACAAAATTCGTAAATTAAGCAATATGAAGCTCTCATGACTTGAATGTTGTCAATATACTTGACGAGGCGTTACTTACAAAAAGTTACAGCTGTACTTGCAATGAATACGTATTAGCTAAGCGATCTGCAAAAATACGATACATTCAGTAGTCATGTTTTGTAGAAAATATAGCAAATTAATAAGAAATGATAAATAAATAAATTAGAAATAATTTAATTAAATCGTGATCGGGAAGACACCGCTACACTCTGGACAGATATCTTTAATTTTAATGTAATATGCTTCTATAATATGTGTAGCGTTCACAATTTCTAGTTGAGTAACCTTCATCTGATAAAAATGTAATTTTGTAACGTAAAAGCACATGGAAAAGACACCGGAAGCATTATAAATAAATGTATTGTGTAAAAATATCATATAATATAACGGAAAAAAGTAATCAAATTTTTTCACTTTAATCTGTCAGTGAGTTTGTGATCTGCTAGCACTTTGACTAATGTGGATACTTGAACAAGTTGTCAGTACCCACTGAACAAGTTACATGAACATTTACATCAGTATATAATATTTGGACTAAAAATATACTATGATTTTGGTCTGCTTTTGTAAAGACTTAAAGGCTTTCCGTTACGCCATAGTTGTTTCGTCAGTGCATATTGTACAAACGCAGAAAACAATCTCACGTCAAATGGACTATCACCCTCAACACCCGGATTACAAGTTCGCTCCTCAAGCCCGTTACACCTTTTTTAAAGTAATGTCTTTTAAAAAAAGATACTCGACCTGAGTAAAACTCTTACTGGTTTACTTGCATATGTTATATCTTATTTTTTGTGCAAAGTCAAGTAGGAATGTTAGCATAGCTTGCATAATAATGACAGGATAATTACTGTAGGGTTATAAATCTTAAATAATGGAACACTTTAGGTTTCTAAACGTGTTTCGATAACTGAACTCAATTTCATACACTAACATCTACTCAGTTGGTAAGCAATTATTGTTATAAGTACTTGATTTATATGCAAAAAATATATGAAAATTATATTAAATGAACACATCGATAAGACATTAATAATCATATAATATGTAAGACACTTATTGAACATCATGAAGTTAGGATACCTGATAAGCTCTGATATTATTCTCGCTATTTCTGATAAATATAAAATATTGAGTACAATGTTATTTCTGGTGAGTTGATCTGCGAGTGATTTGTCTGTAATTTTTATTTACAAAATGAATACAGTTTGGTCCGTATACAGCTGTTTTTTTTGTTTTGTTTTTTTTCGCTATTTCTGATAAAATTTAAAGTAAAATAAATTTCTTCCGTAAAATTGACTGTTCACTAGAAAATGTAATTATATCTGAATGCAGTCTAAAATGTTTGTGGGAGGAAGTATTGTTAAAAAGAATTTACATGTAAATATCTGAGCAATTTAACTGGAAAAATAAAGAATTATGCTGTGCATTTTATTTTTGACCTATCCTTAGCATTTTATTTCATAACGGCAAGAACTATCCTTTAATTTTTTGTTTAGAACTATCTTAGAATGACGAGAACTACCCTTTACATTTTATTTTAGAATAGCCAATGAGATTCGAAGATTTCATGTTGTAAATTTAAATTTTACAAGTCACACTGATTTTAGACCGACTTTAGGCCGCATAGATAATAACATCGAGTTATCTTTTCAAACATAAGAAGTGATACTGAGTCTGCATAACATTGAATATTCCAAGGTGAAAATTTTCATCAAATAGTGATATTTAGGAGAAGTGTTTGGCGGCTCTTATAGTTTACAGACAATTCATTGCATAAAAATACAAAACCAACCGCACATGGACTAGATTAATGTCAATTGAAACATTAATTTGTCACTTATTACTATAGATAATAAAAGTGGGAAGTATTTTGAAAACAGAGTTTGCGTATGTTTTTTTTTTTTCAAAAGCATGCTTTCAGATCGATATTATGATAACAACATGTTTCGCATAGATAGTATCATTTCCTATGTTTGTAATAGTAAAATAACACAACACAGTTCGAAAATACAAATGGTACAATAGTCGGTCCAGGAACAGCTGAATACGGACCAAATTGTATTCATTTTGTAAATAAAAATTACAGACAAATCACTCGCAGATCAACTCACCTGAAATAACATTGTACTCAATATTTGAAAAAGCGAAATGGGACAGGAAAATTGATGTGGGAAATTCATTAGTAATATTTGACGTGAGAAATTCATCAGTAATATTTGACGTGAGAAATTCATCAGTAATATTTGACGTGAGAAATTCATCAGATGTATTTTATAATTTCATATTTTAACCTTAATCTACAAAACCATCATTAAACATATTAATAGTCATTCATTGACTAATGTTTGTCTTCTTGCTTTTTGCAAACGCTTTAAATTTAAATTGATTGAATTCCATATCGGTACCCTCTTTGCGAAATCTATTAAAACCGTTCCCTCTTTGCACATGCACATGTCATTCTCAGCTAAAAACAAACCAGCGATGGATAACAAGCCAGTAAAAAATCATTGTAATAAGAAAAGTAGGTATGACACGTGGAAAAGATGTATACCACGAAACACTAGAATGTTTAATTTATATGCTGATTTGTCATGTGACCGTTTTGCAAGTACCGCAACTTCACAATAAGCTACATAAAATCGACATGTCTTGTCTCGCCCATCAACTCGACATATGTTTCGGACTCAAATGAACCAGTGGCTTGATTATATATGCATTATACATATTTCATATGTTCATTTATATATCACCTTCGGACAAATGGAAGTATATTATCAAAAATAAATGTAAAATTCTTAAAAACACCCTATTTTCGGTTTTGCAGCGGCACGGGCTACCTCTTGCTTTTGAATTCTTTACATCACAGGTACCCTCTAATTTAACACACGGGTACCCTCAAAGCAGGACATAAACTTTTATTTGCGTTAAACGTTAAGCATGTATTATTTTCTATTTTAATGTACGTATATATACTATGTGTCATACTACGGACTTCTGTTATTCACAAATGTGAATATATAATATAGAAGAACACATAAATTTGTAGACTTATGATGCTTAATCTTAGAACTGGTCAGTGGCAGGAATAGCCTGTCTTAAGAACTGCCCGTTCAAGTCGAATTCCGACTACCTGTATTAAAAAGTCTTATTCGATCTTTCGCGTTTCTTGCTTCTGTACGTACAGTGTTAGGACGGGTATCCGTGTATCAAAAACATTAAATAAGAGGGTACCTGTGACATAAAAAATCAATAGCAAAGAGTTGGCCTGTTTCGCTGCAAAACCAAAAGTAGGGTGATTTTATTAATTTTACATATATTTTTGACTAATAACTGCAATTTTCCTGAATATTATGTATAAATGAACATATGTTATATGTATGATGCATATATAATCAAGCCACTGGTTCATTTCAGCCCGAAACAATATGGTCAAGGTGATGGGCGAGACAAGACATGTCGATTTTATGTAGCTTATTGTGGGGTTGCAATAATTGAAAATGGACAAACTGCAATAAACACTCGAAGATAAAACATTCTAGTGTTCCGTGGTATACATATTTTTCACATAACATACCTCCTTTCGTCATTTGAAGCAAGGAGCATTAGGTGGATTATTATCCATCGCTGGTTTGTTTTTAGCAAAGAATAGCCTGTGCATGTGCATAGAGGGTACTGTGTGAGTAGATTTCGCAAAGAGGGTACCGATATGGATATGCACCGTGAATACGGAGCTTCATCATTATATGATCCATTCCATTGCAAGACAGTTTTCTAAATGACAACCTTTTCACTAGGTATTATCTGTTTATGTTGTATTTGCTTACATGGTCAAAGTAATAATTCGTACGGGTAAGATATAACAAGTAATAATTCGCACGGGTAGATGTAACAGACAAAAAATACCTTGCATATTAAACAAATATAATAGAACTCGCTCCAACGCTATGATAGTTATTTGGCGGCTTTCCGGCTTTACTGATGCAGAGAGACCTCCGATGCCCCTCCTTTCATAATTTCAGGTACAAACGGCTCCCAGATAGAACCACCGATGTTAAGTAGCTGGGTACCTTCCTCACATGTAATGATTCAAAGTCCCTGCCGGGAGAGGCAAGATGTTTGAATTCAACGATCTTAACCACTCTGCCAAGGACGCCAACATTTATGGGTTTGGGAATTATCTAAAACGAGGTACAGGTATGTGAAATTAAACGCTCTTGATAGGTCTATAAATGTATAAAATTAATTATTTAAAACATAAGCATAATTTACTTTATAATACATGTATTTTTCACAAGGTTTCTGACGGATGTTTTTTTTTACTGACTGCGATGCTGAGGAATTATTCTAAGTTACAAATTAGATTTTATGAATTATTCAGTTGATTGATAATTTAAAAAATGATAAAGAATAAGAAAAAACAATATAATATATTGAAAGATTCACCATAATTTACTGACTTTTCCAGTTAATTTTTTACTTATAATCGTTGGTCAATATGACAATTGAATTCTTATAATCTAATTTACATAAAAAAATTATGCGCAATTTCAATAAAAAAAAGCGTAGTAGCAAAAAAACTCAATATTAAAATAGCACACAAAACACACACAAAAAAAGAAAAGAAAACAATATTCATAAAATATGTAAAAAAAATAATAAAATAGATATTACAATTATTTTATAGTAAAATAATTATGCTCAACATGATCAACATGGTAATATGTGTAATATTTTTACGTAGTGTGAACAGATGCAGATGGTGCAGTTAAATATTTTTCACTACAACTTTTTCATTTCTTAAGATATCAACTTCAAACTTCAAATATATGTTCCCTATCATCAACCACATCTTATGTGGCAAGGTTCACAACTCTAATATTTTCATATTTATCTCCCTTTGAACTTAATTTTTTTTCTTCAAAAATATCAGTTATACTGTA